CCTGCTTATTATTCTCAGCAATATGACACACAGTCAGAATTTGATCCTACAGGATTTACTTTAATCCTGCATAATTTACATCTTTGGCTGTGCATTATCCATATTGCACTTAGTCCGTCATCACTCCAATATTAAAAGAGCATTACACTGGTTCCCCCCAAACTAAGACTAGTAATTACTTTCCGATTAAGACTTTCAATAATCAGAAGTATTTTCTGTCAGTAAAAACTGATGACGACACAACAGAAACCCAAAAAAGCAAAGCTGGCAGAGTTTAATACAAAAAGAAGAAATACTCTCACATATAACAGGCTAATTATAAATTAACAAAATTGATCAACTACTAATTAACCAAATGCTGAGTTCTAAGTGAATATTAGATTTAAGGTGTGTATATCTATGTAAAAAATTTGAAAAAATCTAGGAATTTGCAATTTAATTATTTTTAGACTTGACATGTTGCCAATCCCAATGACTTATTTAAATTGCTGTTTCCTTCCTTGCAAGGAAGGCAAGCAGTGGAGATCTGTACTTTTCATGCATAATAACGCTTTCATACCTTCTAACTTGTTTATCTACTCTTTGGGGGACAAAGTGCTCACTTCAAATCTTTAAATACATCATCCAGAACTATTTCTGCCATCAGAAACTTCAAGAGGAACAYGATCAACCTGGGATTTACACTTTAGAAGTTAAAGCAAAGTCCAAATCCAAATATGGGTTTTTTTTTTTAGTATATCATTCTATCTTTTTTTTTTTTAAAAAAAGAACCACACACATAGTAGACACAGCAGGAAAATACAACACAAGTCAGCGCAAAGCTTCATCCTTGGGACACTAAATACTCCAAGAAAATATCTGCAGAATGACTTCCAATCCAGTCACTCCAGCAAGTGTTCTCACAGAGGGTCTCCAGTTGCTCAATGGAGTGTACTGGGTTTAGGGAGGATGACTTTCTGGATGTCATCTCCTTTCCTATGGTTTGAATAGTTTTCAAAGATAAATAATTATCATTTGCTATACATCAAGGAGGAAAACACCGAGAGATAAAGGTCTTTAAGTGAAAGAAAATACAGGGTGAAAAGCTACCGAGTGGGATGACATGAACAAAATGATGACTGCAACAATTGCCTCAATAAAAACTCCAATCCTTTCCCTAAAAGTTTGTATTTAAAGGATGTTAAAGGAAAAAGGATATAATGAGTCTAGTAACAAGAACTCAGTAACAAAGTGTAAATTCCAGACTCCTAGTCGCTAGAACCAAACTTCTTATTTACACATCCTGAATGTCTGAAAGGCAGGAGAAAGGAAGTGGGCTACAAGGCAGAGTGCCCAAAGAGTAAAGGAGATCCTCATCTACCTTTTTTCTTGTGCCATTGCAGTTTTACAGCAAAGAAACTGCATGAGCCAGGTACAATTGCCATGTTTGAGGAAAACCTCATCTCCTACTGGGCACAGGGAAAGTTTAATATCCAACATGAAAAAACAAACATGATTAAGAAAAATATCTCTTTCCAGTTTGGTCATGTTTATCCCCCAAGTTTAAGTATTTCCTTAAGGTTTATATAATTTTGACTTGAGGTTTTCTTGAGATAAAGGAGCTACTGTTCATACTTAACTTGAAGAGCTCTGAAACAAGGCTATATATCAGAGCTATAAAAGAATCGCTCTACCAGATCAGATTATATCACAGGTTAAATTACAAATATTACAGCCATACTTATTAAAATAGTTTACTAGAAATCAGCCTAGAAAAAAGAAAATATGTGCACACAAGTAATTTTACTCATGTGAATAACATGAGCATTTTTATTCTCGCAGGCTTAATAGCTACAGTATTTCCTATAAACTATTGAGAATAAAATTTTACAGGAACTATTCATAATCCTCAAGGGACAAAAATTTAGACTACTTTTGATATTCAGGTCTTCCACTATTACACATGTTGTCTTTGCAGGCACTTTTGCTTTGCATGTTGTCAGTTATTGTATTTTTAGGAGAACTATAAAATAGTTCTTTATAGGTGAAGAAAAAGCTTTAGGAAACAAGCATGACTTTAGTAGTGATGTAAAACTTGCAAGCCAGTGTATTTAAATGGCATGCCCTTAGTGATTACTGTATACACTGTGAATGATGTTTAGCAACCAATTAGTTACCAGATTAATTTGACTACCTTCTGGTTGTCCTCTTTTTGTATAGATTCTAGAGGTTGCTTGCTAAGCATTTCAGAGAACTGCTTTTGAAGTAAGGATCACAAGCTAATAAATACTTCTGTCTCGCCATGATAACTCAGCCAAGATTGATACCATCTCTGCTGATCCCAGAAAATCCTCATGAATTTTGATTCTCAGATGCTCCGCACTGACTCCTACCATACCCACCTGCATTTCTCTTAGCTGGTTGTTTCAAAAAGCCAGTTTCTCCTCTGTGCTGGGATGGGGCCCTTTTGCACATGGATGTGTGTGCACACGTGAATGGGCACAGGCAGTGAGGAGTTTCCCCGCCCCTTTCCCTTTCCTTGTCTCACCCTTATGGGCTCCAGGGAGAAGAACGAGGCAGCTCCCTGCAGGCTTACAGCCAGGCTTTAAGGATAGAGGTGTAATAAAGTAGGAATGGTGGAGGATAAGACTGGTGCAAAGTTGAAGAGAACTGCTGTGAGCAAGCTCAAGAGAGCTGGGCAAGCAAACACAAGCTGTAATTCATGATATTCAAAACTGGAGATAGTCAAAACCTGCCGGCACACAGCCCTGTACCACGTGCTCCACGTGTCCCTGCCCGTGCAGGGGGTGGGACTAGATGATCTCCAGAGGATGTGAAGTCCTGGTGGAGCCAACAGGGCAGGGATGCACCGCAGGCCACTGGCTGCTGCAAGTGCTTGTGACCTCCCAGCACCTCCACAGCCTTTTCTCCCTCACTCCAAATACACTCCACACATTAAGACACTCCTAAGTTGTCCTGCTTTGGAGACAGGGAAACCAGATATGCCAGTCCAGTATGAGACACAGGACTCATTGAGTGTCACTCTATTAATGGTTAATGGCAAAGAGTCCAGTTTTATCATCAAAAGCACGAGGCAGCCATAATTTGTAGACTCAAATCCAATGGAGTGTACAAGTCTCAAGACTTTTCAGCAACACTAAATGGGAATGGGAAACTTCACTCTTCCTTGCTTTACTGATGCTATCCTAATGCAGCAAGATGACGGCCTGTATTTGCTAGGGCAAACTTGAACAGCTAAGCTGATAATACCTTTTTTGCAGGCTTACCTATTATCAAAACCTCTCAATCCTTAATCTTGTTTAAAACTATGAGAGTCTGTATTAAGGCCTCTCCATCAATACTAATTATATCTATTTCCATATTTCTTAAGAGTCAAATGCCAAGAAATCCATAGTTACAGCACAGAATTGCCATCACTCTTAGTCAAATTTTATTCCACTTTAGATTTTTTTTTAAATCAATTTCAAGACTATCACCAGCCTAGAATTAAAACAGTTACCACTGTCATCCCACACTCTTCCAAGTGAAATAGATTTTTACTTTCCCCCTCACCTTCGCCCAGCTCACTCTCAACTGGCTTCCCAAGACTTATTATTAAGACTGGTACCCTCTTAGTTCTTCCCCTTCACTTCAACCATTCAAACATYCCCTCCCCTTTCTCATCTTCTGGACTTGTATTTGTTTTCCTGCTTTTCCAATACAGGGTGAGAATAGATCTGACTCGATCCTGATATATGCAAGTCTTCAAGTCAACTCTTTCTGCAGCTCCTTTCCAGTTGCTGTCTCTATTTGAAATACGCCTCCTCYCTCTCATCCCTTACACAACAGGAAAGAAACTGTTAACCCAGACTAACAAAACTGGCAGAGAAAACACTGTGTGGGGATACTCAAAGGTGTTGACATGGTGTAAACACACACACAAAACCCACTAATCACACACAAAAGAGCAGAGTATTCAGAGGTAAGAATACAGAGGCAGAAAGCCCCTGTGCTGCACGGGGACTGGTCCAACAGCTCCTCTACAGGCCCAGGAACATGCACTGCTGAAGGAAGGAGTGGAGTAAAGCTGGCAACCCCCCCCCCCCCCAGCATCTTGCATCATTTGCCCAACAGCAGCACTCGGGCAAGGATTGCAGCTCTCAGTCATTGCAGGACTTCCATTGCGTGGGCAGAAGATACCACAGATGGCAACTGAAATAACTCACTAAAATAAAAGACTTCTCAGACACAGCAGGGAAAGAGATGCAGGTTAAAATTTAAAAAAAAAAAAGAAAAAGGAATTTTGGCACTCAAAACCATTCCTCTAAAAAGACTCGAGGAACAACACCTTTAAGCAAGGGCCAAGTTCAATTCTGACCTAACATCTCCATCAATGGAAGATGCAATGAAGAGCAAACAGCAACTCAAGGTTGTTCCTCTAACGCCAGCCTCAGGTAAATAAGCAGAGCTGCCCCCATGCTTGCTCACAGGCACCTCAGCAAGAGCTGTTACACTAATCCACTGCTGCCAATGCAAGACTGGGGCAGAAAGAGGGACTGCGTCAGTACTGTGGGAGAGAAGCCTGGGAGGRGGGCAAACACAGCAGCCGAAGCAGCTCAGAGAATTACAGTGATGTAAAGCTCTTCTTCAAAGAGTATTTATTTCTAGAGTGCCCAGGGAACATCATTATCCTAACTATTCTTCAAGACAAGTGAGGATGTCTGAACATCTCAGAGTAATACAGATCCTTTATAGTAGGGAACAGCACCAGGCAGAATCTGCACCCACGTACTTTAAGGCAGAGCATCCGAATGAGCCAGAACACAGCACCGCGCTGCGTTCACCTCGGCCCTCTCCCCACTCAACTTCAGCAGTTTCTACATCTCATTACTAGGTGCCTATTGAGATTCAGCAGAACACAGCCTGCATTAATTTACTTTGTGGAGCTTCTGCAAAAGTGAAAAGCAACAAAACAGGCAGGATTTCAGAGCCTTTTGGCTCCCCAYCACAGCTCACCTACCTCCTTCTCCCAGAAGAGTCCTCCAGGAGCTTGTGCCGAGGCAGCCTCTTCCCAGCCCTGCTATCTGCCACCAGCCTCCTCAGCAATGCTGCAAGAGAAACACTGAGGCCTGAAGAAATCATCTGTACCTGGAGACAACATTCATGTGCCCCCCAGCACCCTGCTAGCACTCACAGCTCACACAAGTGACCATCCCACACTCCTCTCCCACCTGCCAGGCAGGCTCCCTCCTCCCTGGAGCCAACCCTTTACCTCACCCTCCCTCAGCTGGGCTCCCACACAGCAGAGCAGCAGGAGCAGAGCTGCTCCTGCTGGAAGTGAGRCCAGAGGCTCCCCATCCTGCTCGGGCAGCACCCTCACCAGCCACAGCTCAGCTCCATGGGATGAGCAGCAGCACCTGGGGACTCAAAACAGGCTCCAGAGCAGCCTCAGGCAGTGTGAGAAGGAGAAACAACTGAGCACAAGGCTACAATGCAGAGCCAAGGTTCAGCCAGGAAACCAGACGCAGCTGCAACAACCCTGGACAAGAGCTAAGGTCCCTCACCTGAGCTTAAATGCAGCTCTGGGACACATGGGGGGTGGAAGCCCCAGGTGGTGCTGGTCAGGATCATTAAGGCCAATTAATGCTCACAGAATCTTGAGGGGTCCACAGCAGAGATTCCCTGCCCTGACTTTCCCGGATCCTGCCCCAACCCCTAGCTGATCATGTGGCTCAGATGTGTTTCCCTACCAGATCCCCTCACACTCTGAGCATCAGCCCTCTCCCTTCTCCTGACCATGTCCAAACACACTCATTCCAGGTCTGGTTTGTTTTTCATGTGTTTCTTCACTACCCTTGCTCTCACAGATCTCAGTTTAAGCAGTTTCAGCACCTTCCTAGAGCTGGTAAGTGAGATCCCTGCATTCCTATCCCATCTCTCTTCCCTTTGCCAGCGGGAGGGGAGGGTGATCCTGGCTGCAGGTGGAAGCTGAGCTCAGGTACTCATGTTCCCACACTTGAGAAAAGGGAGTACCTCCACTGAGGAACCCACATTTTTCAAACCCTCTCTCTCCCCCCTGCCAAAAAATAACAGCAACTCCCTCATGGACTAGTGGACTCATTTCCCCCATTTTTTTTTCCCTAACGGAGTCCTGGGCTGATCCGATTCTCATCTCCACGCTACTTTCTGGTTAAAAATATCTGACCTTGTGCAACTTCCCATCTCCTCCCTCTCGGCTCCGCCCGCCAAGCTCCAGCGAGGAGCAGGGGGGGTTGCCTGAACGCCCCCGCTGCCACGTGCSCGGGCCCCGCTGCCGCCCCACGAACACGTGTCCTATGAGGGGACCCGATCCACGCAGCGCCGCCCGAGGGCTCCCTGCGTCCCCCGCGCTTCGGGGGGCGGCGGGGGCGGGTTGCGGCGCGGCGACACGTGCGGCTGCCGAGACGCGGCTGCTCGCAGCCCCCGGCGGCGAGCGCGGCTCCGCGAGGAGCTTTTTATAGCAGCAGCAGCGCCGCCGCCGCCGCCGGGGGGGAGTCTCGCCTCCCGCACGCTACCTCCCGAGGGCGGCACTACAGCCAGACGGGGAGGAGGGGACGGGGGGGAAGGGTCTTGTTAACGTGTAGCTACAAGCACACGTCTAGCCGAACAGGCGGCATTAACCGGGAGGACTAAAAATAGCCMCGAAACCGCGGGACACCAAAACCTCCGATCTTTCCCCCCGCCCCCTCCTCTGTCAATCCCCCCTCGCCCCGCGATCGGCTCCGCGGCCCGTGAATGGGGCTGCCGGGACCTCCGATCTTTCCCCCCGCCCCCTCCTCTGTCAATCCCCCCTCGCCCCG